AAAAAAAAAAAAAAAAAAAAAAAAAACACACCAAAGAAGCAAAAAAACACCCTACAAACAAGCAGGAAAACTCATAAAACATGCCTCACCCAAATGTACAGGTCTGAGCATAAGTGTAATTTTTACATGCAGGAGTAGCATTATACACAAGTATGAAAAGGCTCTTAGGCATTCCTCAGCCAGTTCCCATGACCTGGTAATGGGAATCCTACCTGGGGACCAACATACAAAGTCTGAAGGTTTACAGTGGCCAAGAGGATTAGCCGTTAAGGAATATATGGGCCTGGTTATACTTGATGATTTGCTACATAAAGTGTATTTCAAGTACAAACCCGATATAATACGTTTTGGGGAGTTCACTGCAAAAGGACACATTTGTGCATATACACTTGTCACAGAGTGTTTCTGGAACAAAAGCAACAGGAGAGGTGAAGGGATAAAAAGTGCAGGCACCCAGACTTGTAGCAGTTTCAAAAAGCTTTAATCAAGAAAGCGGCCAAACCCTGGGCTGTTTTGACAAGCAAAGCTCCATCACTTTCTACGATAGGCTGTCTGACAGGCGAATAGGACTCTGCAGAAAGCAGAAGAAGCCAGGCAAGCTTTGGCACAAAGAAGTGCAGGAGCTTTAACTGTTGAATGGCCTGGAATTTAGCTGCAGTGGTTTTTTGGGGGGATTTTTTGCCGTGACACCAAACTCAAGAGTTAAATCTTAAAAATGCATTCAAGTACCTTAACTATTAACAGAAATGTAGCCAAGCTCGCTACCATGATGTACTACAATCTCACATTTAGTTAGCAAATGTGTACTGAAATTATAGTCTCTCATGAGACTGAGCTTGTAGCGGTGAGCTTTTAGCATCCCCTTTCATTTTAGCCTGAGATTGCATGTTCAAAATAATAACAGGTTTAGCAAGAGGGAGAGGTGTTAAATAGTGGTGTTGCATTTCAAATAAAACATTTACCTTGAAAGTAAAATAAATACATTTTGTTTTGGACTTCAAGAAAATGGCTACTGCATTGGAAGAGTTCTGTATGGAGGTGGTGGATGTCTTGTCTGGCTCAGCACTCACTGCACATTTCTGTCACTTCACCTACAAGCCCTTCCATACTCAGCCCATTCGTCAGTATTAAAAAGCACGTTACTCACCTCGGGTGTATGAATAATGTCTCTATCCACAACCTCTGCATCGACAGCCAGAAGAATTCTAAGATACAGGTCAACACCACGAGGGTTGAGTCCCACAACAGACAGAATATCAAAAAAGATTTTAGGCCAGGTTGAGAGGTACTCAGTAACAAGGACCAGGGCAAAGACCTGTGCAGCTTTGTTACGTATAAATGTTTTCTCTGGTTGGGGATTGAGCATCTGTAAATAAGGGGAAAAAATAAAAATGCACTAAAACCAAAACAAATTGCAAACATATTAAGCTGATAATCAAATTTTAAGATAACGTTCATCCAAAAACCGTGTGCCAGTTGGAGTCTGTTTACAGGCACCAGACCCATTAGCTGCAGTGCAATCCTAAGCAACGTCCACACTCATGCGGAGCACAGCTCTGCCTGCAACTTTTAATGATCACGTAAAAGGATACACAGAACAGCTTTCAAAAATGAATCTCTATTGCTTCTATACCAATATATTCTGGTACACGAAGGATCAACTGTTTTTTTTTAAAGACTTTATTATTTACCTGAGCTTGAAGCCATGTGATTAGTGTTTCCCTTATCAGTTGCTGCTGCATTGCAGTCAGTTCAGAATACCTGTGGAAAAATAAAATACAAAATACAAAAAATAAATAAATTGTATTTTTTAAAAAGAGAACTTCGCCCCCACAACAAAGTCAGGAGGGACACTATGGCCCAGAACAGCACACAGCAGCCAAATCATCCCCTGCTGCCCACAAGGTAATGCATGCATATCAGTGTCCACTCTTGAAAACAAGCAGATGTAAAACTCACTTGAATTTTATTTGGTGCTCCAAAACTTGAAAGCAGAAGAACTTGACATGATCGTCACTGAAAACAAAAGTACAGAGTTACACAAGTTTCATACATATTCTGCAATCCCATTTAAAATTTAAGGTAACCCTGGGCACAGACTATGCATGCTAAATATTTAAATATTCCAAACAAGCAGTAAAAGTACTTTAGGGCAAGACTTCATTCACCTCTGCAGCTACAAGCATTGCAAGGACAAAGTCCACAACAAAAGCTGTCAAACTACAGCTACTCTTCCCATTTTCTATAGAGAACAGAATCTTGGCAGCCTGCAAGCTACTATCAGGTGTTTCTAAGCTGTGGAAAAAACAACCAAAACCCAACCTTAGCATCTTTGTTATACCTGTAAAAACCTCCCTTGTGTAGACACCCAAAAGCCCTGAGACTTATACTGGGCACCAACACCTTGGATACAATGATGTAAGGCCCATTAGTGGTTCCTCCCTCCTTCCTTCCTTCCTCTCCCAGCAGCTACGTAAAAGGTTATGTAGTGAGGTAAAGGGATGGGAGGAGATTCTGGGCCACCACAGACAGCAATTAGACACTACCAGAAGAGAAGGCTATAGCAAGCAAGGAGAAAAAGGCCGGTGCTAGGGAATAGACACTTCCTATATTAAAGTGACTTTAATACTACTTTAAGCAAAAGATAAGGATGACGATCCTAAAGCTAGTTTTAAAACATCAGTTCCAATCTGCATATTTGTGATCCACTCCTAACTAGTAACACCTTGACCCATGCACCAATTCATTCTTTATTAAAAACTGCAGCATGATTCTAGAAAAGGAATCACTGCAAGAGAAAGGCAGTTTTCATTACCTGCAGAGGCTTCCCATTTAAACAAAAAAAAACAACCCACCCAAACACATGCTCCTAATGAGAGCATATACAATCAAAGGCAATCTTCTCACCTATATATGTGTTTGGCTAATGCTTCAGCACAGACTTGCCATGCATCATGTGAAACTTTCAGTTGTTCAAAATAAGCCAATGCCTGAAATTAAGAAAAAAAAAATGTTTCAAGACCATCGTTACATAATTAAATTAAAAGATGAGCACATCAAATGTACAGACAAAATGAATGAGAACAGACATGAAAACCTTTTAGGACCAGTTTACACCAAAACCAGACCTAAAACATAAGTCAACGGAGGTCCGTTGACTTGCAATGTCAACCTCCTGATGCGTTATGTTTGTGTTTTCTTTTTTGCCATTCTTTAAAATGTAACTAACATGTCCTGAGTGGACAAACATGTATTATTTTTTTATACTTCCATTCCGTTTATACTTCCATTCCGTTGCAATTACATCCTTTTTTGTTGCATTATGTTACATTGCGGAAAACAAAAAGTAGGAACATGCTCTTTTTTTTTGTTAGCATACATCAACCGAACATAATGGTGTGAACTGGTCCCATTCACACAAATACATTTCTCAGGTTACCTTGCGTTGGCAGCCACTGAAAACTGAATGCTAATGGTTCCGGTGTGAACGGGGCTTAAATCTTAGGGCAAAAAGTACACGTCTTTTGGAATTCATACTATAGGCAGGGCTCAAAATTTCAGGTTCTGAACTACTAGCCAGTCCTTAAGAGTTACTCGCCACCAGTTGCCCCACCTAACCACTACCCTGCCCTGGCCTTAACTCCACCCCTAACCACACCCTCTTAAATTATCTCATGAAATCATACTGTTAAATGTTTCATTTAAAATAAAGTTACAAAAATAATCATTAACAACAACAACAACAACATTAACATAACGCAATGTAAACAAAGGAAAATAAGTAGTAAAAAGAATCAGAACCCTCCAACGCGATAAGACTCTGAACTATGCCACGGAATACACTCAGGGCCATCCAATGCAATACACTTAGGACCCTGCAATGCATTCATTTTACTATTTCATTAATTATTAAATATTGATTTAATTATTAATATTATTTACTTAATTAATATTGATTAATACTATTATTTAACTGTGTGTTTATTTAATGTGAGCACTACACCTTGTGTTTTTTCAAACCAAAACCTAAATATAAGTGCCGTGCTACACTACTAAACATAAATCTGTAAATCCAATCACCAACAATAATGTGAAAATAAGAAAAACTGTGATAACATCAAATGCACAATGTAATAAATATGATATTTCCTCCACAAAAGCACAATGTTCTGTGAAGATATAACTTGTCAGCAGCTGTGGTGGAAACCTCTGACTTTTTCTTTCACTAAGCAATTTATATTCTCTCCATATAGCATATTGACTGGGGGGGTGGGGGTGGGCACAGTGGGTTAAACACTGTTATATCTCCATGGAACATTGTACTTTTGTGCAGGAAATATCCTATTTATCACATTCTGCGTTTGCTGTGATCCCAGTTTTTCTTATATTCACATTTTTATTGATGATTGGATTTTTATGTTTCACTTTTCTCTCTGGTCTCTGGAAGCGCAGCACTTGCATTTAAGCTTTAGTTTGAGATAACATATTGTACACACAGCCGCCTGCCTGCCTCCCTCCCCCGCTCAGTGCTTCTCATCATCCCCGGCAGTTAGTTTGCGGCTCCACTGGTATATCCAAAGCACACACTGACACGGCACTCCCAGCAGAGGTGTGGGCGTGTCTGCTAGCAAAGGAAACTTTGTGAGTCCAGCATTGGTGTGGGCGTGTCTGTCAGAGGGGCAGCATCAGCATGAGACAGAGAGAGTGTAAGCCCTAATACACCGGCTGAATTTCCACTCGCCCTCACTTCATTTCCACTCGCAAAATGTGGAAATTTTGAGCTCTGCTATAGGTACCAATAGTTGAGTATATGTCCCCCAAAAAAGTAAAAGGTCAAATTTAAATTTAAAAAAAAAAAAAAAAGTGTATTCGTTGCCATCATAATGAAAACATACACGGTCTCTGAAGTCAGCATTGGCATTTGGGTTTAGTCCAAGCAGGGCTTGTTCATCCATGTCTGCTATACGTCAAGCTTCCTATTTCTCACAATAGGTTTGCCCCTTCCTGGCACAGCAGGGTCAACCAACATCTGCCAAAGAATGAAAAAGCAAAGTTAGGAGAAACATGGTATTTGCAAACACAATGGTGCGGCTTGTCTCAGCAAAACTCCATAGATAATGCAAGACCAGGAACAACATCCTGCACAGCATTAATCCCATAAACTAAAAGTTTACATGCACACTTCCCCACATAAAACTGACAGGGTTTTAACAACATGCAACTCCCCAAAGATCCTTACTTTATATTTACACAATAAGTCACTGACACTTAAACATAAATGAAGCATTCATTGCATCAGATTGCTTCTTAGAGCTAAACTTCAGGATTTTAGTGGGAAAAAAAACTCTTGCAGTGGCGGTGCCTCCACAGTGCAAGGGTTAAATGCTTGTTAAGTATAAAAGGTGCCCATACACTGCTCGATTCTCGTACTGCCCGTTCAGCATTGCGGTCATCGGAAGCCCGCCCCTCAGGGGGGCGGGCTTGCGATGATCGAGAGTGCGATCTGCCTGTCCAAGATAGGCAGATCGTACGTTTTTTTAATCCCTGTACAACCATCGCAAGACTAAGGTCTTGCGATGGTTGTAGAGTGTATGGCCATCTTTAGGGTACAGGAATAAGCTGTAATACTTAGCCTCATTGCTCGCTCCGGCAGGCATCCACCATGCTGTATGATCAGTCCCCCCAAATCTCTTCTTCGCTGTGCCAACCGGTGGTCGCACTCTTGACATCACCTACAATGTAGGACCAGCAATCCTTGCTCATTGTGCTCATTGGAGAAGGGTATTTTTGTTACAGCTTTAATTGTCATGAGAAAATTTGCCCAACTGAACTCTTCACTTGAATCTGCTAAAATACTGCACATTTCATGTGCATCAGAGGAAAAAGATGTTCAACATCCTAGGTTTTTTTTTTATTTATAAAAAGCAGCTTTAGCCTGTCTTCTGCCAGGAGCTGCAAAGCAGAACCCTTGCTGTGTGGAAACAGTGGTCTCTCTGCAGAGGTCCAACATGCCCCCTGCTGAGTCTGACTCATAGCTATGCAATCAGTAAAGCATATCATTCCCACAAACTGAAAACTCTCCACTGGAGCCTTGACCTCTGCACACAGATTGTTGCTTACCGATAGAGAGCAAGTGTCCCACTCTGCAGAAAGTTGGCAGTAAACAGGTTTTTCTACCCAGGCTGTGGCTGCTTTAGAAAGAAAATTAACTGTAAGACTTTAAACACCTTTTGTTTTGATATGCCTGGAATGCACTTCGCTAATTTAAACAGTGTTTAAATGGCCTTTAGGGCCTGTTCACACGACGTCCGTTTTGTGTGCGGACCAGCTCCGTACGCTGCTGCACTCAAAATGCATCCCAATGTATCCCTATGTGTTTTATGGGCTACAGTTCTCACGTGCGCAGTCCGTTCAGCTTACGACAGAAAAAATACTGCATGTCACATTTTGTCTGGTCTGGAAACGCACGAACGCGCACAAAACGCAACGAAAACGCAATGCAGCTAAGCTTGCTAAGCAAAGCAGCTAAGCTTGTATTCTTGCTCCACTTATTATGATGTCAATGTTGCCAAAAAATTAACTGTCAGCATCCGGACCGAAAACGCATCAAAAACGCACTGCATCAGCAGCTCCACGTCTGCTGATCAGCACCTGATCTCATGTGAACAGGCCCTTAGAGTGTACCTCTATTCTATAGGTGTTGGTATAATTTTTGTATATATTTAGGGGGGTGGAATTCCTATCGCACTACGCAAAAGGAGCAGCGTCGTTAGAGTCCGCCCGCACCCCCCGCCGTGGTTTTTGGGGTCCCCCGCTCTTCTGGGGGACAGAAGACCACGGCTCAGCCATAGAGACTTGAGCAGACGAAGAACATTCGTTCTTCGTCTGCTCTGTGTTACCACTGAGACCGGAGTGCTGTGATCACAGCGCCACCTGTCTCAGATGTCAGGAACATTTGTTCTGTGTTGGAGGGCAGGTTCCATAAAGAGAACCTGTCACCTCCAAACTATCACATAGAGGTTTGCAAGCCCCTATGTGATGGGAATAAAATTAAGTGGGAATTTTTTTTTACAAATACATAAAATATATAAAAATGTTAAAAAAAGCAAAAAACTAAAAAAACAACCAACCCTGCTATCTGCATGCAAATAAACGCACGCATAGGACATTGTGTGTGTGCGTTGAGTGCTGCCGCCATTCCATAGTGGTAGCCAGGCAGCAGAACTCTTACGCACACACACAATGTGCATTAAAAGGGTAAGTTCACTTTCCCAGGCAATATGGGAAAATAGAATTACCCGATTAAATCTGGCCCCGTCTCTCCCAATCCCCCCGCGCCAGCTAAACTTGCCTTTCAGCAAACAGTCGTTCACCTTCCGCCAGTACAGGTGTACTATATGTGCCCCGTACTGCTGTACACCGTACATTTTGAATTTTGCTCGCAAATTGCAAGCACTCATTGCTCAGCGTGGTCAGTATCTAAACCCAAGAACAAAAATGTAATGCATTGCAGTATACCAGTTCTCACCTGTTTTAGTCTTTTCCCCTTTACTTTAACTGACAGTCACACACTTTGTCATAGCTCATGCATGTTGTTTATGAAGGATCAGCAGTGCTTTTGTAGGTAAGGACTAAAGAACACCTCCCCACTCCATTACACTGGGCAGGGGGTCTGCAGTCCACAGAAGAAGTGAACTGGGCAGGGCTTGTCAAAGCAGTGCACAGGAAAATTATAAGCTTCTTAGATTTCTGACAAGTTTCTTAAGTTTTTTTTAATTTCTTTAGCTATACTCTGCTACCAGCCCTCTTCTGGATTGAATGATAGCAAGTGTCATTCAATTCACTTCCTGTAAGCCCAGGATGTCATGGACACACCCCCTGAGGGTGCATCAACACGTCGGCCTGGGGTCTGAAGAGCAGCTTTGACATCATAACATCTGTGTAGTATTGAGGGCTTTTCATCGCTGCTCCAGAGTTAAGGGGAAGGAGACCCAAGGGCACTGTGTGACCAGCCAAAAGACACCAGGAAGAAAAGGTATTTACTTTAAAAACTAGATTGGGAGGGGGGGGGGGGGGGTTTTTTGGCAGTGG